CGGATAGACGGACGGATAGACAGACAAACAAACAAACACGCAGTCGTACATAATACATACATGACTGATATATGAAATGTAATTTAAAAAAAAATTTACAAAAAGTACTTTTTTCGCTTAAAAGGTACTTAACTTAGGGACCGTACAAGAAATTAATAATTTTTTTATCTTATAAAGACAAAAGCTCTTTCGATCACTGTAGCTATAACTTGTCCTTAGAACTTTGGGGAGATTCATAAAGCTTTGAAAAAACAATTTGTTTATTAAAAAAATTTCAAGCTTTTAAAGAAATTTAGATTATTATTAAAATGTACCATAAAATGTACATTTTTAACAAATTTTGTATCTCTGATATATGTATATCAATCACACAAATACGTACAGACAAATTTAGATTTGCAAGTCTTCACTCATACGAAATTTAAAACACAACAACACCTGTGCCGCTGTTGTTGTCGATGTTACATCTCACATCAAAAGAAACGTTTTAAATTTCAACAAATAGGAATGTGTAGTCCGTTATTGGCGACCATATGATTCCCCTACATTTCGAATTTTAACTCAATACTAATATGTATATCTTAAAGGCCATTTATTGATCAAATATATACGATGTGTATCTGATTATACAAGAATATCATTCTACTGAATTCAAATTTAAACTGATTTTTTCAAATATTTAATGACCATAAAATTTAAAAAAATTCAATAGTCGAAAAGTTAATTTGCAACTTAGCTTTTAACACACATCGTAACACATCGAAATATTGGTCATAGACCCCCAAGAATGTATATATTCTGGGTCCTTATTAAATTCTAAGACGATCTAGCCATGTCTGTCAGTCTGTTGAAAGCACGATAGAGTCCGAACGGAATGAGCTAGAGGATTGAAATTTTCCAAAAATATTTTCTATAGGTAAGGTTTGTTTGGTAATGATCGTTTTCGGTTCACGTTTTCGGATAGCCCACATACAAGTAGATACCCGAGTATAGCGATGAAATTCGACATAAATAAGTTTAATATGATCCAAAATTTCCCTACCAAATTTTATGAGGAACCGTCCATATTTGACCCTACCCCCCATATAAGGTCCCTTTCATAAAGTGACTATAACGTTTATTACTGGCTTAAAAATACGAGTATAGTGATGAAATTTGACACAGATAAGTTTCAATGAAGCAAAAATCTCTCTATCAAAATTTATGTGGATTGGTTCATAATTTACCCTACCCCCCATATAAGCTCCACTTCAAAAAATGAATTTAACGATCATTACTGGCTTAAAAATACGAGTATAGCGATGAAATTTGACATAAGTAAGTCTCTTACGAGCCAAAACCTCTCTACCAAATTTTATGTGGATCGGTTCATAATTGACTCTACACCCCATATAAAGTCCCCTTCAGAAAATGACTTTAACGCACATTACTGGCTTAATAATACAAGTAAAGCGATGAAATTCTACCCAAGTAAGTTCCTTCCGAAGCAAAATCTCTTATCCAAATTGTATGTGGATTGGTCCATAATTGACCTTACCCCCCTATAAGATCCCCTTCAGATAATTAATTTAATGCTCGTTACTGCCTTAAAAGTACGAGTATAGAGATGAAATTCGATATAAGTAAGTTTCTTACGGTTCTCATAAAAGTAAGAACCTCTCATAAAAGTAAGAGGTTCTCATAAAAGTAAGAACCTCTCTACTTACTTTTATGAGAACCTGCATATGATTGACCCCTATATAAGCTACCCTTCAGAAAATGACTTTAAAGCTCATTACTGGCTTAAAAATACGAGACAAGCGATGAAATTTGACACACATATGTTATATACGAGTTAAAATCTCTTTACCAAATTTATTGAGGATCGGTCCAAAATTATTTTAACGATCAATGCTGGCTTAAAAATATGTAAACAGTTATGAAATCTGATATAAGAAACATTCATAGGAACGTAAATTTTGCTACCGAATTTCATGCGAAAAGTGTCGGGAAGTTATATTCGAAGTAAAGATGTTTTATATGAACCAAAATTAGTCTAAAAAAATTTATGAAACTTTATAAATGGGGTATTAATTATGAACTTATTTTTGTGGAATAAATCGAATTTTGAAAATTTAGATCGAATTTTGCGCCAACTAGACAGAAAGCTTCAGAAAGTAATTTTAAACAATTTGTTGTATTGTAATAGTTTCACTGTTACAAATCTCATCAAAAATGCATAAACACTCTATGGAGTTGTAGCGTAATTAAACCAAAGAAAGTAAGAGAAAAAAATAAAGTAAAATTTCATTAATTTTTGCCCAAACGAAAAAGAAACAAAAACGATTTTAATGATTTTTGACAAACTAATTTATTTGGGATTTTTTGCATTTTAACTCGTAACAAATTCAAATTAAACACTTAAGATTTTGTAATATAATTTAATGTACTTATGGATATTGAAATAAAAAAGTTAATGCATATGTAAAAGCAGCTTAGGGGGGAAAAAGTTTTAAAATATTTTTGTAAATTTGTAAGTTTTATATAATAAAATGTAAAAATTTATTGAGTTTCGGAAAGTTACCTTTTAATAGGAAATAAACAGTGAAATCTTTGAAAAAAACTTACATAGTTGGACTTGTATCTATAATATAAAATGTCTTTTTTACTACCACAAATAACTGCTTACTTGTCAGCTACAATGTAATTGATGCTTTTATAAGAAATGCAATTAGTTTAAGGGAAAAATAAAATTGTTTAAGCTTAAAATCGTAAGATAAATTTCACTCATTTGCTATATAATTTAAACTATTTTTCAATTTCATCATTTAGTTACTTCATCCACTGTTTTCGCAAATAAGACTGATTAGTGGTTTAAAGAAAAATCTACAAATTCATACTTAATATTTTGACTTGTATTGTAAAATTTCGTAGTTTTTTTATTTTCAATTAAAATTTTTAATAACTTTAACATTTCAACAACCGAACATTTCTTTGCCCCATACCACTGCTCATATGCGGGAATTCAATTGCAAATGAGATTTTATTGCAATAAAAAACACGATGGTCAGTTTTGATAAAAACTAAAAAAGAAATAAAATAAAAATTTAAATGAACGAAACACAGTAGTTGTGAAGTGTTTGTAGTAGCAATTGGCCAATTGAATATTAAACAATAAACAAGAAGAAAAAAAAAGTTATTCAAATAAATACAAAACGTACATAGTGCAGCAATTCGAAAACATGTATTTTTATTTTGTTCAGACGTTAATATAAAATGTCAGGGGTTCTCAAATAAATTTTATTTTCTTCCTTTTCACTTTTAGCCGTCATATTTTAAAATCCTTTACCGTTTCAAATAAATCAAACTTCATTTATATAATTTAAATTTTTTATTGTTAATTTTTACTACAATAAAACATTTTTTTTTCTTTTTTTATGTTCACTTTATTAATTATAATTATTAATTCTTAATAAATTGTGTTTTTTTTTCATCTTTGTTTTTAGTCTATATATCTTTTTTTAATTTATTATAAACTATTTAAAATATCAATAACATCTATGTAAATAAATTTGAAGAAATTCATATTTTTTTGATTTTAAATATATATATTTTTTAATATAATATCTGTCTCTGTTTATTATTTTTTCATATGGTTTTTCATTAAATATTAATAATTTCTTTGATCTCTGACTACCCGGTTTAACTAAAAACTAAATTACTTTAAAAGATTAAGAAACAAAATTAACAAACATTTTTTTAAAACAAAAAGTGGTTATAAGTTTTTGTTTTTTTTTTTTTTTTTTTTGTTATTTTTTTAAATAATTTTTATTAATTCTTTTTTATATAAGTTTTATAAATAGTATTCCTTTTCTTTCCTTTATATATAGATTCACTTTTTTATTTATAATAATTACAAAATTTTTACAAGTACGGGATTTATTTTTTAAGTTGGAATTAAAGGAGTTTTATAAAATGAATATTTTATATTAAAAATTATTAAAAATAAAATATTTCAAATTGTATATCAGTAAAGACACAAACCTTTTCAAGACCTTGATGTATATACTTCAACCTTTATATGTTGCTGCAGCATTCCGTTTTTTACTATTTATCGGGGACATCTGTTTCTCAAATGAAATATGTTTTTTACAGTCCAATCGAGATTTTCAGATCGTTAACGATCCGAATAAAAATTATCTTTACAGACCGAACGTTTGCGTTCGGTTAGAAGGTGCAACCAAAAGGGGCATTCAAACTGTATTCAGTGATCATTTCATTCGATTTCTGACATAATTAGACAAATTTTATGAAGTATATGTTAAGATTTTTACCATTATAGACCCTAATTTCGTTATATTGATAAAAATAAATATGTTAAAAAAGCGATAAGTCGGAAAATCAAATCATGTTGCAAAATTTTAACAAAAATCGCAGATTCAAGATTTTCAATTTCAAAATTTGTAAAAATCCCTACAGATTGGCATCTCACTTAAGAATATCCAGAGTCACTTATGTGCCGAGTGGCATGCAATTTTTAAAAATTCTTCTGACTGTTGATTTTTTAATGGATTAACATTTTAATAAATTTCGGGTGAAACTTATTGAGTAAAGGCTTAAACCTGTAACGATTTTAGTCCAATACTTATATTCTACACAGAGGGAAAAATAAATGTACACGCCTGGTACCAAATTGACACCAAACTGTTTATAATTTTTCAATAACATCTAGACAACGGATGTGTATAAAATTTAGATTTCGACAACGAATTGTTGCAATGTTGACAACGTTGCGACATAGTGTTGTCGTACGTATGTATATACTTTGACAACGGATGTTATTGAAAAATTATAAACTCTTTGGTGTCAATTTGGTACCTGGCGTGTATATTTCGTTATCCCTCTGTGTAGTAATGGCAACCGATTTAATTTATCATTATTTACTTGCAAGTGTTAATCACTTCAAATTGTCTCTCCCAGGTTGTGCCATAATTAAAAAAAAATAATATATTGTTTTCAGTTTTTTTCTAAACTAAATGTATTATTCTTTAAATGATAATTATTAATAGTTTTTGTTTTTAACTTAAAAACAAACAAAAAATAATATTTAAAAAATTAATTAACACACGCATACGTATAAATTAAACTAATAAAAATAATAATAAAAATTATAACTATAATAATGATAATAATAAAAATAAATTGTACATATTTCTGTTGTTGTTTAATTAACACTTAAATAAACAAGAAAATAAAAGAACAAACCCTCATTCTAAAGAGGAATATTATTAGAAATTTTCTCAATAGTAAATAAAATACAAAATAATCGTAATTTTTAATTAGTCAAATCAAAAATATTAATTAAATATAATTTCGAGTTAAATTCTTAGAGTTTTAAAGTTATTGTTTTTGTTGGTTAATTGTTAAATTTAATGTTTCTTAAACTTATTTCAATTCAGTTCTTTGTCCCGCTCTTAATTTTGCTCTCGCATTTAAATATTCAGGATTCACGTATTGTTTATCGTCATCATTTTCAGATTCGGATTGTAGGCGGGCACGTTCATACTTTTGAGCTCTTTCCATTATCACACGATTCAGTTCGCTTTTAAGGCCAAAGGTGGGTGAGTGTTGAGTCTGTTGTGGATTATTATCCTGCTGATGTTGCTGTTGTTTTTCTCTTTGTTTTTCGTAGGCTTTTTGCAATTCTGTTTTCTGATTTAGAACGCTAATGCCCCTGGAAAGGTGAGAGAGATAAGGAAACAATTAGTAGTGGTAAATATTTCCGAAAAATAGTTTGCAAATAAATGTAATTGTAATAATTAACAATTAAGTTGAACATTTGAAAGTAAAGTTAATAAATCTATTTTCAAATTAATTGTTAATTAAGCACAAATAATATTCTTTCTTATACGCAAATTTTCTAATGAACACAATTATATTTATTTATGTATTTTTTTTTAATTTTGCTTATTTGACACAATTATTTTGGTTTTGGTATTTGAATTTAAAAAACTATACTTACATTTTTGTATTAAATTTTAATTCTCGATGCAACTGTTTACGATCGGTTGACTGCAGACATGGATTTATCAATTTCTTTGGTAAAATCAAACCGTTCGCATCTGTTTGTACTCCCGGCGGTGGTGGTGGTGGCGTTGGCATCATCATTGTTGTTGCTTTTATTTGACAACCGTTCTCTAGCTCGTCCGTATCAATTCTACTTTGACTGGCAAAGTTCTGTGCGGCCAAACCTTCTTCTCCACTGTCTGTTCTCAGCTCACAATCTGCAAAAAAAGAGAACAAAAATTTAAAAGAAATTAACAAAAAAAAAATAAAATAACAATAATAAAAAATAAAACAGATTTTTTTAATAATCAGCTACCAATATGACAAATGATCTTAAAAATTTGTTCGGTTGATCGTTCTTTTCTTACGATTCTTTTTTTTTCAGATTTCACAAAACTGTAAAGTTATTTGAAGAACAATAAAAGAAGAAAGATCAAAAGAAATTAAATTTATGGCATTTTAAATAGAAAAACAACAAATTTGACAACGATCTAAAGAAGTGTAAAATTTTGTTATAAATCAATGAACTGTTTTTCATTTGTGGAGATCGTTGTTTTTTTCTACTCCAAGTATTGATTTCAAATGAATGATTTTTTTAGTATTTTTTAAAAGTATACTGGCCTGTCATAACTTGAATGTAGTGAGAGAGTGAGTTTATATAATGGGTTTTGAAATTTAAATTGATTTTTTAGTTCATTTATTGTTATTATGCCTAAAGGTTATAAACTTTGTTTTAGGAGAAATTGAGGTCTTTCCGCAATATCACCAATTAAATGTAATTTGATCAATAATTTGTAAGATACAAATTACCAGTTTAGTCTATCTATTGTAATAATTTAGCCCTTATAATATTTATGAGTAAATGAAGTATAACATCTTCATTTAAATTCATTTAAATAAATGAGTTGTATAATGTTTTAAACAAAAGTACCTTAAAAGTACTAGCAGTTGAAGTTTTCCCCCAATTGCATTTAATTAGTCTTAACTGTTAAATGCATTCTTGAATTTAAGAAAACGAAAAACAAAAATTATATTAATATACGGGTGCTTTAATTAAGTCCCCTTTTAAAATATTCATTATTACAATTACAGCTCATTACGTATGTAGTGAAAACAAGTGAGAGTGTTATATTCGGCTGTGCCGAATCTCATATACCCACCACCAAATCGTATGCCGTATAAGGAATGCTTCCCTATAAACATCAGGGCGATATTACTCATCAAAGAAGAGGACTTAATATAAAAAATATGGTTTTTTATAAAATTTTTCATAATTTTTTTAGACCGATTTTGGTTCATATAAAACATCTTTACATCGAATATCAATCACTATAGTGATATATATCCGAATGAAAGTGATATTTACTATAAATGTTTCTTATATCAAATTTCATAATTGTTCACGTATTCTAAGTCTGCAATGTAATTTTCTAATGGACGGATCCTCAAGAAATTTGGATCCTCAAGAGATTTTAACTCGTATAAGAGAGATTTTATTTCTAAGCTAGTAATGAGCTTTAAAGATATTTTCTGAAGGAGAGCTTATATGGGGGCAATCATATGCAGAATCTCATAAAAGTCAGTAGAGATGTTCTGGCTGGTAAGAAGCTTACTTATATCGAATTTAATCTCTATACTCGTATTTTTAAGATAGTAATTAGCGTTAAAGTCATTTTCTGAAGGGGGCCTTATATGGGGGGTAGAGTCAATTATGGACCGATCCACATAAAACTTGGTATAGAGTTTTTGGATTATAAGGGACTTAACTATGTCAAATTTCATTGTTATACTAGTATTTTTGAGCCAATAATGAGCGTTTTTCAAGGATACCTTATATGGGGGTAGAGTCAACTATGGACGGATCCACATAAAACTTGATTGAGAGATTTTGGCTCCATTGAAACTTATGTGTGTCGAATTTTATCATTATACTCGTATTTTTAAGCCAGTAATGAGCGTTAAAGCCATTTTCTGAAGGGGACCTTATATGGGGGGTAGGGTCAACTATGGACCGATATTCATAAAATTTAGTAGAGAGATTTTGGATCATATGAAACTTATTTGTGTCGAATATCATCGCTATACTCGTACTTTTAAAACAGTTATGCCCGTTAAAGCTGTTTTTCGGGGGTCTATTTGTATGGGGGCTATCCGGAAACGTGGACCGATATTAACCTCTATAATTTCAACTCTATCGTGCTGTCAACAGACATACGGATAGACATAGCTAGATTGTCTTAGAATTTAATAAGGACCCAGAATATATATACTGGGTCTATAACCAATATTTCGATGTGTTACAAACGGAATGACAAAATCAATATACTCCCTATCTTTTTTGATGATGGATATAAAAAGGCTAGAGGCTGGTTGTAAAATTATCACAATAAAATTAAAGGCGTAAAAGACAAATAAATTAAACCTTTTTGGAAAAATTTATTTAATTAAATTTTGTTTCATAATAAAATTTGGGGAACTTTTTTCAATAATAAATTTATGTAAAAAATTGAAAAATAGAGATTTCGTCTTTATACTTCTAAAACTTCTCAGAATCACTTTCTGACCCATAGTGTAATGTCCTGATTTCTATCAAAAAGATCCGAAACGATTTGCAAATTTCATTTAAAAGAAAAAATGCACTATAGATCGGAAAGACTATTGATGCGCTAAAATTATCTTCAAGATATAGGAAATTTAATTCTTCTCAAAAATTGTGATAACATATAAACATAATAAGAGGTTATTACGCCAAAAAACTGATTTTTATGACCTTTAACTTTCAATATTCAATATCGGAAAAGTCATCTTAACAACAACAGCTCACAGATGCTAGAATGTCAAATTTCTCTTTTGCAATATCCTTTGTTTCGCATTGTTCGAAAAACATAAGCTTTTAAAACTAGATTTACTTAACTTTTAAACTTCTCTTTTAAACTAACTCTACTCTAATACGTATACTAGATCTATATCATGACATTAATTCTCATTTATTTGTTAACATCTAATCCACTGTCAATTGATTTCCATGTTAGGGTGTCATGCCATGTCCAAAGATTGAAATCTTAATTGATAATAAACATTATCATTAAAATCTTTTATTATTAACATTAATATTTATTCACGATCATTCTTTTATTCATGAGTTTCGTTTGCTGCTGCGGTTGTAAATGTCGCTGTCAATAAATGAATGTGAATTTAATGAGAAGACAGTAGCTAATGGAGCAATAGTAACAACAGGAACAGACAGCTGCTGTCTCTTTTGCTAACTCAGCAACTTTAAATGTAGCAACAGCAACTTTTTTCAATAGAAAAATATTCTTTTCATGTTTAGTTTATTTTTTGGATAAGCTTTAAAGAACCCCAAAGAAAAACCAACCACAAGATATAAAAGGAAAAATTTAAACATTTGCTGTAACAACTGTCAATACCGATTTTATGATACCCTAACTTAAGCTTTATTAAGAAACGAACTTTTGCAGTTTATATCATTTCTAAGATCTGATCGTATAGATTTATATGTAACCCATAGATAATGGTGAAGAAAATTAATTTAAACTCCTCTTAAAAGAATAGTGAAAAAGAGGATAAATTGTTTAATTATGTATGTATTGTAGTTAGTTATTTATGCAGAAGAAAGTATTTTGTTTGAGTTGTCAGTTTTGTATGTAAAAGACAACATATTTTCAATTGTTGGTTGTTCGTTGTTGTCTTTATATTGTTGCTGTCTTAATAACTTCAAGAATGTTTTGTAGTTTTCTTTTTTAGTTGTTGTCGTTTTGTTTGTTTACAAGAGGTTATTATGTCAATTTTATCAGGGGTATTTAAGAAAATTTTATATTTTTTGTTGTTCATTGTATGTTTTTTTTTTGTAGTAGTTGTTGGTGCTGGCTGACTGCTACTGTTGGAGGCACGAAGCAATAGTATTGAAAAGAGAAAAACCACTTTCTTCTTTAGTTGTCATTATGTATGTTTTTTTTTTGTTGCTGAACTTTTTTTTTTGTTTTTGTATTTCATTTAATTTTTTTCATGTTGTTGTTTTTTAGTTATTTATGGGTTTTTTGTGTATTTTGTTTGTTAATTCAAAACATTTGTAAATACTTTCGAGTTTCGTCTGTGTTGTATTCAAAAGTATAATTTTTGCTAAATTGTCATATTAACCCCAATTCTATGGCTTAAGTCGTTAACTTATGAACGAAACAAATAACTTTACATTACACGGGTGTTTTCTTTTTTTTAACTTCTTATTCACTATTTCGGGTTTTTTTCAGTTGTTGGTTTAGACTTTAAGACGACTTTTGTGTAATTTTTTTTCTTGTTGTAGTTTTCTTCTTTAAAATTTAAGTCATAGGTGGTTAATGGCAATTAAGTTTATATTTTAGTTTTTTAAATTCTTAATCCAATTCTTTCAGTTATTGCTTTTAAAGAATGAAAGTAAAATTTGTCACATTAGATATGGTAAGTCTCTTGTATGGGTTATACTTGAACTCGATGTCAAATATGTATAAAATTGTATAACAGTTCGTTCTTCCTTTAAAATTTTTTTGTGTACTCGATTTTAGCGCTGTTAGAGTGGTGTTAAGATTGATCGATCCAAATCTGGCTATCCCGATAAGTGTGCTAATTCAGACAGCTGAGAAAAATGCTAGCAATCTGTTTACTGGTGAAAAATTGCCTTTAAAGGAGTTTTTTAATACACAAAACAAAATATTATGTTATCAACAAGTATACGAAAGGATTTTAATACCTCATCCTCCTTCTGATGGGATCATTAAAAGCCATTTCTGCCAAAAATACATAATATGAATGTTTTATCAAAAATCTGCCCCTAAAAATAAACTGTGGTTTAAAGCACAGTTATTTCATACGACTGTTCCTCTAGTTATCGGGTCAGTGGGCAATTTTCAAATGGGTTCTGTAATATCATTGCATTAGTCCTATCAATGAGCAGATTAAAACTATTATCCCTTGTTGTTGGTGGACTGACAACAAAAACAACAAGAAACAGTGAAGCACATGCCTTAAAACACTTATAAACCTTTTGCTTGTTTAAAATCTAATTTGCAGGGGGTTACCCTGTAATTCGATTCGAAAGGAAGTACGTTCGAATCAGTTACAATATCTTGCATGCAAATTACGTGATCATTTTTAAAAAATATTTGAAATACTTAAAACTAATGAAGTTTTTCCAACAAGCTTATGCGATTTACAAATGCGATTTTTAACTTTTAATTAAATTTATTTCTAATTTCACACTCACTTTCAAACATTTTAATACGATTCCTAATGTCCGTTGAAATACTGGAACGATTCATAATTATTTGAGTTGATTTTAAATTATATTTTTAATTATTTTTACAAGTGAATTTTTTATTGTTTTTTTTTTTTTTTTTATCTCAATTAGAAACACTTAATTGAAAATCAGTTACAAAATTAAAACACAAATGGAAACAAATCAATACACAAACAAGGCAACACAATCTAGACAATGAACAAAAAGATCTAAATTAAATAGTTGTTTTGTTTGTTTGTTTGTTTTTGATTGTTCAACGATGTGGCCACTTTCAATAAATTACAAACACTAAATTAAATACTCTTGTAACACATTTTTAATTCAATTTGGAAAATTCAACTGCTACAACAACAATAACAAGAACAGCAAAACAAACAACGTAATTTTTTATTACAAGATTGTTTCGTGTCCGAAAATAAAACAACAACAAAAATAAATAAATAAAAAAAAAACAAAAATCAATTGCAGAATAAAAACGCCTGAAAATAACACTTTGCAACTAAATAATGTGTTATTGCTGAGCTTTTTTTTTCTTCTTATTGTTGCAGCAATTGTTGTTCTGTTTCTAATGCATTTTTTTGTCTATAAATTTTTTTTGTTAATAGATTTTTTTATATTTCCTTTTAAAGCACGCGTCGCGTCATACGTTTTGTAACAACAAAATCTCGAAATTTTTTTTATTTACGAAATTTTTCAAATTGTAGTTGTACTTCACGGATGCCAAATATGTGAACTTACACACATGTGTTTTCCAAAACAACTAGATTCTGTTTGAGAAAAAAACCAAACACAAATACACAGCTACAAACACAGCAACAACGACAACATCCACAAAACAGAAACAACTGATATGTTCAGATATTTTGTGTAAATGTAGTGCAAAATGCAACAAAAACAACAATGAATATGACCAAATATGCAGGCGGCATGCGCCAGGTAATACCAAAAATAACAAATTGCAACAACAATGACAACAACACCAGCAGCAGCAGCAATAGCAAAGACAACAGCAGCAACACTTTTTTAACTAAAATATCCAGTCTTCTGACAACCAGCCTCCTCTCAGTTATTTTCTATTGAAATACCAGAGAAAAATTCATGTAAATTTTTGGTACTTTTTTTTACAATAGAATCCTGTTAAATATGCCACAACATTAAAAGCTACACAAGAATTTGTTAAAACATTTCGATAATGTACAAAACATATTTTGGTAATTTCGTTATGAAATTTAATTAAAAGAAAAATGCCTCTTTTTATTAATAAATTTCTAGTTAATTGTTGTTCAGTGGAAAATTTTACAAGGCAGCCTTTGATTTTAAGTAAAAAAAAGGATATTTCCAAGCAAAGTTTATACAGTAAAAAGTGAGCAATTTATGAAAGTAAAATAAATGCCAAATGATACCTTGTTATATGTACCTATGACCTTTTTAGCCATTCTATTAATAAAGGAATAATTAAGATCCTAAAAAGAAATTCAGAATCAGTTCAAGATAAATTTAATTTTATTCGAAATTCTTTGCAAACTAAATGTTGGTACTTTTTTATTTAATTTTATATTAACAAAAAAGTACATTTAACAATAAAAATTTTACAAATTTCGTAACAGTACATACTTAAAAAAAATCAGTACCTTTTCATAAGCTATAGTTCAAGGTACTTTTTCTTTTGTTTTATTTTACACAAATCCATTTGCAAACTGAATGCAACCAAATAAGTGAGAAATCAATAAATTGTTGGCAACGAAAACCAGAACAGAACAACAGCAATATACAAAAAAAGTACATAATACAAGGAAAAACAAACTAACTCATTCCAAAACCAAAAAATACAGCAAAGAAGTCTACAAGTGTACAAGGTAATGCTACCTTCAACACCACAACCACTAACACCGCCACCTAGATTCTTACCACTTGAATACACACAATTTCCTTAGATTTGATAATGTTGCACATTCTTACATTAACATACAAAATAAGCAAAAATAGTTGGAGACCCCTTAGCCCCTCGCTTGTTGGGCGATTTGTGTTAGTGTTATACATGTATTGCAGTTTTTGTTGTTGTTGTTTTTAGCATTTCCTTTTAGTATAAGCAAAAATTACATAAAAAAGTTCTTTTGCCTACAAATGTGGGTGTTGCATGTTATGCAAAAAAATGTATACAACAATAACAAAAACACCTACAAATATAGAGGAAACAGCACACAAATGTAACAACAAGACAACAACAACAAAATGTTGCACTTCCAAAGCAGCAAAACTAAAATAATCGTTGATGACCTACATTTTGTCTAACCGACATAATCGGTTAATCTTTTTCCTATACTCACTCATTCACTCACTCGGGCTATAAATGATACTCGAGTCGAGAATTCTCTATTATTGTGCCCACAATACAACAGCACTACTACATCACTACCCCTTGCTAAATGATACAGATACTCTCACACACTTACATACCCATATTTTTATACGTTTTTTTTTTCAGCTTGTTTTTAGTATAATTTCCTTTCTTTATGAATGAATGAATTTTCACTTTCATTTTCCTTGCTGACCCTGTGGGAAATGCACGAGCTAGTGGCGAATTGCAAAAGGAAATTAAGCACAATTATAATGCTTGAGTTGTTGCCTTGATTGAATTATCTAATTATAAAGTTAAAAAGTCTAAAAATACGCTGATTGAATTCTTTTCTTGTAATTTGATTTTTTTAACATCATTGATAGAAAAAGTTTAGAGTTTTTTAATATATTTACCGACAGCTAGAAGGCAATTAAGGCGATATCAGGTGATAGAAATAATCTAAGACCGTATTGGATTGTAAGAAAGCTTTAACTTAATACTCTACCAGAGGTAAAGTTTACATCATATGGGTACCAGCCCACTCGGTAGTAGTCGGCAACGAAAGGGCGAATGTTATAGCTTTAAAGGGAAGGGAGCTCGAGGCAATTAACCTGACAAACGCAAACCATTCGACGCAACAAAAGCTGAACTAAAAATATGGGTGAGAGAATCCCATAAGTCCTCTTGGAATAATGAAACAGTGGGTAGAACCACGAAGATCATATGGGTTTACCCTGATGATAGCAAGACGAAAAATATCCTCAAAATGAGTAAGTCTGAAGTTAGTATGATGGTACGTATTCTGAGCGGACACGCAGGATTACGAGCACATCTATGCAAAATTGTACGTGCGGATTCAGATGAATGTAGAGCATGTAGAGAGGACAGTGAAACTCTAGAGCACTTTCTTTGCCACTGCTAGGCATTCGCCGAAGTTAGATCCAAGTATCTTGGAAGTGATGTTATTCCGGAAATAACATTCCTGACTAACATTGATTGAAAGGAATTACGTTCAGGAAACTGAGTTTCTGAACACTGAAAAATAATTCAGCGAAATGTATACTACATACATCCATATGCATCAACCTAACATAACCTAGTGAAAAATTGAATTTTCAGAAAAATTATATTTAAAAAAAAAAAAAATATATATATATATATATATATGTGTATATATTTTTTTTTTGTAGAAAATTCAGTGAAAAATCAAAATTTCAGTTAACATTTTCAAAAATTGTGTAGTGAAATTTTTAAATTTTAAGTAAAAATCAGATTTTCAGTGAAAAATAAAATTTTAGTTAAAATCGACTTTTAGTGAGAAATTTAAGGATAAACGATTTTTTATTTTCTACAGGGAATATAACATTTTTAAATTTAGAATAATATACACTTGTACCCGGCAGTTCAAATTACATCTCTTTTGAAAAAAAGTCGATTTCACAACCGCCACCAATATAATTTTTAAAAATATATGGAAAACATAAAAAAATATTATTAGCATACACACCAACAAACTGCTACCTTTCGCTATTAACTTCACTAGTACTGCCATTTACTCCTTCAAATTAGTTACTTAAAAGCTCTACAAATAACTTAGTGGCTAAACTACATCCATGACCGGTAGGGTAGTCATGTGTAACTAACACATCCTTCCATACATTTACAATGTTAACGAGTTTTGTTTTGAAAAATATCCAGTCAAAGGATGTTTAGTGCTGTATATTGTCAATGATTTCACAAGTGTTTCTCTTTTGTTTTGTTTTAGTTTTTTTTAATTTATTGTTTAAGGAAAAACTGCATAAAATATGTGTGTATCTCTTACAACTATTTTTATATAATGTGCTTTTTTCTTGTTGCCACTTTTGTTCGCATGTTGCAAGTGTGTAATTCAATGCTGATGCAGCTACAAATTACTTTCTATAAATGTCCTTTACACGAAGGACCTTTCTCTGTAAGCTGTAATAAGAATAATAAAATGGCCAAGGCCATAACAAATTAAATTGCGCAGCTTGAAATGTAACACTTTGAAACCAATTAGTAGCTAGACAATGATCTGACTGACTGAGTTTTTAATGACATTATTTATTATTGCATACTGTGATGAAATACTTATTTCACAATAATGTGTCTGAAAGGAATGATAAATATTTGTAAAGATAAAAAAATTGGCACAAGACGCGTATTAAGTCGAAAATTCTTACAACGATTGTTTTAAAGTTTATGGCATAAATTTAAAGCCATTAAATAAGATATGAATTGTATCCGTATTTGTTACTTATTTTCACTCAATTTAACCTTAAACACAGGCATATTTGAGCATTATTTACAGCTTCAACTCTGGTCCTTCAAAATGCTCTCTATTTACCACCAATGAGCAACACAAAATAGGCCTCCTATACCATCAAGAAGAACCAGGACTTTTGACATTTTTGTTCAAAAGTGCAGCAGCATGACCTAGAAAAACTCTCAATACAAAAACTTTACAAAGTGAAAAACCTTGACCTAATTTCAAGCAGATTCCTGCAGTAAACATTTGCTACGAGAAGAGCAATCCATTAGATACATAAGTAAAACAGCAGCAAAAGAAAAAAATGCATTCAAACTGAATAAGAGAAATAAAAACTATATATTCGCACTGCTCAACAAAGAGCAGGGCGTGTGGCATAAAACTCTAAAACAGGAGGGAAACAGAAGGTTAGATGTTAAAAACTTACTTTTTCCATCAGTTAAACTAAGTGTGAAAATTGTGTGTGCAATTGCTGTTGATTGAACAAAAATCATGAAAATTGGAGCCAGTCATGTTGTGCAAAGATTCTGTTATCCTGGATGTAATTGGCTCCATGGCAAAATGGCTGCCATGGAAAAAACACAATAGAAACAACAATAATGCATTAAAAATTAAAATGAAAAAAAACAACAACACACCCAAAAGGTCAAGAGTAAAATAATAGAAAATAAAACTCAAACAATACAAAAAGATGTGGAAAATATGCAGGAGTTCAAATTTAAATAAAAACATAATTTTAATTCATAGAAAAAGTTATTGTCTATATCCATTGCATTTTAAC